CTGATACTGCATTTGCCCTGGTTAGGGGAACTGCCAGTGGGGCTCAGTTGTTTAACGACTTTACAAATGAGCGTGTACCCATGTCCCTGTGTATACCTGCACAGAGCAATAGGTATGTAGCATTACTGGCTGTGGTTTGCAGTATTTGTGAAATCAGCACTAGCTGTTGTGATGGAAAAAGGGAAGTTCCTAGTCATTGCTACTAAGGACCACTGAAAAATGACGAGCACAGTTTTCCCTGCTGCCATGTCACTGCTTAAGGGGACACTCTGGTTTCCCTGGCAGAAAGCACAGGCTATCAGCAGTCATTCAGTAAAACAGCCCACAGGGAACATCTTCCAGTCTTCTGGCCAAGGGTACCCTGTCTTCCTTTTCTTCCTCCTGTCATACAAACTGTGAATTTCTTGTTATTGGTCATAGATATCATAACCACATTGTAATGTGCTTCTTCAGTGCTCTTTCGACAACATTGGATGTAATTCTAGCTAATTCTAATTCCCAGTAAGAATTAATGGGAGCTGTGAAGTTAGTACTGCCTGCAGTTTTGCTCATTCAGGGTAAATGAACTCCTTTTATGAGTCCCACTTAAATAAAGTGCCTCCAGAAAGGTTTCATGCACTGAAACTCTGTGTTTAGATATAATTCAGAGTGCATGTGAAGAGTGGATGATAGACCCTGCTTATTTGCAAGTTTGCAGTGAGTTTTCAATGCAGCATCACTGTTGATTACAGCTTGCCCAGCTGCTGGCAGAACTGAATTCCATACCGGAGCTGTTCCCAGTGAAAACGCCCACCTTGACTCCTTCGGTAAGTCTCTGGTACTGGCTAGGGGCGACACTTGTTTTTGTTAGATTTAGGATTAACTTGTTTGCTAGTGAAACCCTTTCACCAAGTTTGTTCTGGTTTTCTTTGGTTTTGGTCACTTTATTTGTATAGATTTGCTATTGGTCAGTATTCAAGTACCAGAGGTTATGTGAGGAAATGGAATTTTATATGGTAATTTATGAAGAAATATGGAGATCAAGGTGAGATGCTTCTTTACCATTTTTTCCCCAGAAATACTGTTGAGATGCTAGAAAAATGTCTGTGTATGTGGGAATAAGGAATAGTAGTTGCTTTCCTTTGGGTTTAGATCCTGTTGATTTCCCTTTTGCAGGCTTTTCTTCTAAAGTCCCACACTTCCCAGTAGAGCTATGCTGATGAAATTGAACCACTTCAACACGAACCTGGAATGATACTGTAGTTATTTCAACTGACTTTTCTTGGCTAGAAGCAGAGAGCTGTCAACCTCTCTAGGTTCATTATAGAGTAATGTTTTTCCACATATGTTATAAACTGAAGAGATTTGAGGAAAAATTGAAGGGCCATATCTTTGGGAGCCAGTGTAGAAATGCTGGTGTGGTGGTTTTCAGGTGAAAAAGTGAAGCCAAATTATACAGTCTTTGAAAGGCTGGAACCTTGCTAGCTCTAGTTAAATGCTACAGAAACTTAAAACATCCTTTGAATACATACATAAGCCTGCTACTTTTATTTAGTATCATTACTTGAGGAATGGGGAGGGCATCAGGAGTATTCTGGTTACCTCATCTGTTTGGTTTTTGACTTCCAGCCTGTCTCCTTGTATTGTGCCTTTCACCTCTTTTGAAGGAAATAACTAAAGTGTATGGTAGCAAGCAGACTTGCTTCCTACATCTTGTTTATGCTGTCAGATTTAGTAGCTGCCTTTATGATAGTTGTCCATGCAGGACTTCTGTTGCACAAATTCCATCATGCAGTAATTGATGGGTGTGACAATATGAAGAGGGTATCTTATGCCTCCTAGTAATTTCCAGGTCCTTGGAATCTGGAAGTAGGAGAAGCTTATTAATGCCCTTTCAATTTAAAAAATATAAAAGAAGATAACCTACAATTTGGATTATTCCTTGAAGGTGGATTCAGATTGTGGGAAAATCTGAACATTTAGCTACTGAAGAACAGTGAGAGCTAGCATCTACCTTAATGTGCCATACATAAAATTTTGGTGTAGTCCTCTGATGTTAATTGGAATAGAATTTGACTGTGAAGGTGTGGTGTTTTAAAAGGACCAAAAAGGTATAGCATGTAGGGAGAACACTTAAGAATGCTAGAAATTGGTGAGGTTTGGCTTAACACATAAGGAGTGGGAGAAAAACAGATTAATTCGTGATATTACGAGCGTGGTACAGACATTTTCAGATCATTTCTGATGTTTAACACTGCAAACATAACTGAAAGGACAGTTAATGGAATCTTCTTCTCTTTCTAGAAACAGAAGAAGATCCCAAGGAGGACATTTTCTGAAGGCCAGATAGCACGTCGCATGAACCCAACCAGAAATGCTCGTCCACCAGAAAAATTTGCCTTGGAAAAATTTACTGTGTCGGCCGTCAAATTTGCAGAACACTTCCGTAGCTATAGACAACAAAACCTCTTGAAGAGCAGACTTAGTGTGGTATTTGCCAGACTTTGGTATCTATAGTAGTCAGGGATTAGGAAACATTTAAATTGTTGGCCAGCACTTAGAGCAGACATCACACCCTACACGTAGTTAATGAGAACCTTTGATTGGGATTAGCTACAGAAGTTATGTCAGGCCTTCCCACCTCATCTTTCACCATTAACTGGGGTCTATTATTTGTGGCCTGTGTTGTCCAAACATAACAAGGCAGCTTACTTATGGTCTATTATTTATTCATTATCTGAAAATTACTAGAGCCCACAATGTAGGAGGCCTTCGAGTGGCAAGGCAGTGGGGATGATGGAGGTGACAAAGCAGATCTTCTCTATCTTCAGAGTCAGAAAAAATCAGCAACAACCTTTCTCTGGAAATAGCAGAGAGAAGATAGGTCTTGTATAGCTGAACTTAGAATGAATAAAGGGAATCTGCACCAACAAACTGCTGATGCACTGATTAGCCATTCAAAAGTTGCAGGTTTTATTCTTCCTCATTTTTAAAAAAATCGGGTTTTCTTCCTCCCTTAGCTTATGGTGGTTATTTGTCTTGCTTATATTTACTCTATAGCCTTTATGAGGAAGAGCCTAAGTTTACATCTGCACAGGCTGCATTCCAGTTCTGCTTGTAGGAACAAGTGCTGGGCATAGCTCAAGCATTTGAGAGGGAACTTGGCTATTAAAAAAAGTGGACTACCACTGAATGAGAACCTGGGCTGGTAAATGACTGTTTTGGAGAGAATAGAGCTGATCTAGGGTGAAGGACAAATGAGGTGTTAAGAGTTGAGTAGGTGGAAGGCTAAGGATCAGACAACACTTGTACCTGAACAAGAGTCAAAGAGAATGATACCTGGAAGGAAAAAAAGAGCACTTGATAGTGTCTTCCAAATAACAAACAAGATAATAAGAAAGGGCTCGGTATGGCAGGCCTAACATAAAACTTCAGTAAAGGTATTTTGCAGGACATTAGAGATTGTCATTGGAGAAAGCAATTAGAGAGTATGCTGGGAGACTGAAGGAGCAAACCATGGGAAGACAGATGGTCATAGTTCCTTATTTTCACAGGGAGGAAACAGAGTGTGAAGAGTTACAGTGGAGGCGTGCAAGGAACACAAAGAAAAGGAGGTAGCAGAAAAACAAACATGTTTGGGATTAGTGGAAATAGAAGCAGCAATGATGGGAAGGAAGAACATACAAACACAATGAATAATAAATGGAGTAGAGAAAAGTTTAGGGAGGAGAGGGAGAGAGAGGCAGTGATGATTTGGAAACTCTATCCCCTGTTCTTCCAGTGGTCCCCGAGCCTGAGGTCCACCCCCTCTAGACTGCATATGCATTATAAATGAAAGAATTTGTCACCAAGCGTGGTGACAGAGTCTTCATGACACCAGACAAAAGGTGTTGAGATGAATTTGTTTAGCAGGGGGATTGTGGAGTGCGCAAAAGAAGGAGATCATCAAAGTATTCATGTCACCGTCCAGTAGAGGATATTACTGAGGAGGACTTGGACAACATTGCAATCACTGTTAAAGACAAAATCTATGACAAAGTTCTAGTAAGTGGCTGCTGTATTCTTTAGTGTGTCAATGTGCTTGAAATTGAAAGTCTCTTAATCATTCACTGGTGTTTGCTAAAAGATATGCTTTCCTGAAGTTCTGGAGGGCATAGCTCAGCATTACTGTATTTCACAAGCACAACTTTGAAAGCTTTGCCAGGCTTCTGTGGGCTTGCCTGTGCTGGTTGATACGCCCCACTAACTTTTTGCCTCTACAAAGAACTGCTTTCTTGCCATAGAGCTATTAAGTGAAATTTGCTATAGCTATGACTCACCACTGATAAGAGTTGACATTCCTTGTATCTCTTGTTCTCACTTAATATAAATGTGGTGGTGGTTGTACCATTAAATAATAGTGACCACTGCTGCTCCTTGTACCCCCTGGAAATGACATTTCTGTACAGGTTGGGTCATTTCCAAAGCTTGTGATGGAACTATTCCTTCCTTTCCTTCACTGGATTTGGCTATTATTAGTTGTCATAAAGATCTAGATGATCAGCTTACTATATATTGCATGCGTCATTGTATTTGTAGAGATGAGTCACAAGGTCATTTTTCTATGAATAGTTTTAGCTTTTTCCTAGATAGAGGAAAGGATGAGAACTACAACATGAGTTTGAGACTCCCAATGCACCTGAGGCTGGGCACTGTCTCTGTAAAACTCCTATCATCTCTCCAGATAGTTATATGGTTTATCATAATAACAGAACTTACAGTTCTTACCAAGACTTTCATTGCTGAATTTGACTTTGGTTTGAGGTTTGTGCTTTGCTATAAGCAGATACATTAGGACAGTTCAGCAACGAACATTTAAGATGTCCTTCATAAATACATGTTTCTCCTTTCCAACTTTAGGGTAGTACCTGCCACCAGTGTCGACAAAAGACAACCGATACAAAGACAATCTGTCGCAACCAGGGCTGTGGAGGAGTAAGGGGACAGTTTTGCGGACCATGTCTTCGAAATCGATATGGGGAAGATGTGAAATCAGCACTGCTTGATCCAGTAAGTATCATTTCTTGGACTTGGAAAGAAAGTGTAATGAATACGGTTTTGTCAGTAAGCTGTGATGAGTATATGCTCATGATAACATGGTGTTCAAAGCTTTTTGCCATGAGAAGATCTGTAGTACTGTTACAGCTGACACTGATCTTGTTGGAACTCAAGTGGAAGGTGCTGGATGTGGGTTACAATCCACCTGTCTTTGTGCTTTGAAGCTCCACTTGCTTACCAGATAGTGGAGGGAAAGCATGAGAGCTTTTCAGAAAAGGAATCTGTACCCTTTCAGAAAAATGCCAAAACGTACACCCCCCCCCTTTTTTTTTATTAATGCTCTCAGTAACATAGCGTGCAAAGCAGGTTCCTTGTTTTAGATTCTAATTTTTAAATAAGGATAAAAAGGAGAAGGATACCTAAACATCTTAGGGTTGGTTCCCTTTTCTCTGTTGTCCATGGAGGCACTGAGCAAGGAGCAAGCACAGGCTCCTGCCAGAGCATGAGGCACATGGGTACAAAAAGACCTCTTGGCAGAATAGCTCTCTCTATGCTTAGCTTGTTCTAGGACCTCCTCTCCCCCACCTCTGCTTTAGAGACGGACTTCTGGGCTGTTCCGAAGGACAGCAGAGAAGAGAACTAAGTGCTGGCCCAGTGTGACAATGCCTGCTATACTGTAATGCAGGCTGTTAGCACCTGCGTGTCCGTGGCCAGTTGCTCAGCAGCTGGGAGATGCCTGACTTCATGTACATGCTGGGTAATTCAGGCCCAGGAATCCGTGCTATACCAGCAGGCAGAGTCAAAGAAACTTGTCACAGGGAGTACCCATCTTTTCTAGGGTGTTCACTACAGTCAGCCTAGCATAGGATGAGTTATCATTAGGCATTATAGATGCCTTTAGTCTACTTGAAAATTAATACCGAGCACATCAGAGAACCTGAGTCTTCAGAGTAAGAAGGATTCAAGCAAACAGTGTAGTACTTAATAATTTCGTTAATCCTACATAAATGGAAAAGTCTTAACAAGGTTGGTTGGCTGGCTGATAACAGGCTTTTAAAACCTTGCCCTGAATGATCACACGGTAGGGAAGCCATACTCAGGTCTGTCTGAGTGACGGGAAGGTGACTATAACCTTACTCATGGCTTGCCTTTACCCCGGCTCCCAGGCCTGGATCTGTCCTCCTTGTCGTGGGGTGTGCAACTGCAGCTACTGCCGTCGGCGGGACGGGCGCTGTGCCACGGGCATGCTCATCCACTTGGCCAAGTTCTACGGCTACAACAACGTCAAGGAGTACCTGGAAAGGTGAGGGCTGTGGCCTGTGGTCATTCCTTTTTTAAACTGTTGTAGCCCTTTAAATAATACTTGACTTCTGTGGCCTGGGGCAGATCCCTGGACCTATGCAGAAGTCTCTTGGACTTCAGATTTCTCCTAGGCTGAAATCAGCTTCATTAAAGTGAGTCATAGTGTCTGTGTAAAAACTCATTTGCTTAAGAAACTGAAATGCTTTTGCCTATTTTGAAATCCATATAGAAATGCTATTTTGGAAGTTGTCGTCTTCAGCAATGGAAATTGTTTGTGTATGGGGAGCCTGAGTTTCCTAAAAAGCACTAACATTGTTTTCTCACATATCTTCTAGTTTACAAAAACAACTGGCGGATGACAATTGAGAACACTGAACTCAAGCTGTGCCTGCAACTGGTTAATATGTTGACAATTTTTGACTTCAACAGGTTATTACTATGTTTTATATAAGATAGAATTTTAGAGTATAGTATATGCATTGCTGTGTTGGGAACTTTTTGATTGATGTGGTCTTATGCAAAAGATCTCTCAGGAAAATGTTTTGGTAGAGAAATCTACATGCACAGACCTATACGTTAAGTGAAATGGCACTCTTGAACCTTGAGTGGTTAATTTTTAACAGACCTACACAACCACATGATGGAGAACTTGGTCAATTTGAGCAATATTTTTATTTATATAATCGTGCAAGTTTGCAGAAAGGGTGTTTAACAACTACCTGTAAAGCATACCCTGTCTTTAAAGAAACAAAAAACCCCCTTGTGTTCCAACTTGACCATAAAGATTCAGTTTTCAAAGCCTTGCTTTCTGAACCTACTCCTCCACCTGTAGTTTATGGAACTTATGCAAAGAAGGGAAGGGTACTTTCACCTGAATGTCATTATATTCCAGCCAAAGCTGATGCAACTTACCAGTGGGAGGATCATTTTTTTTTTTTTTATTCCAAAGTGCAATTAATCACTGAGACATGAAGTGGAAAAGTGTTTTGTAAAAAAAAACAACCAAAAAAAAAATTAATTTTAAACATCATCCCAATAAAGAAAAAGAATTGCTCACTAGCCGTTGTTCTGTGATGCACCTGCTCCCTGAGCCAGCTATCTTACAGCAGTCATAACTGGTTAACTGGTTTGAATCACAGAGTTCAGGATTATTTTTTTTTTACATACAGCTCATACTTAGATTTTTTTTATATGTACAACCAACTTTGTTTAAATGCAACATGTTTGTATTGCAGTATGATTATGTTAAAATTCTTGTAAGATACACATTTCATTTTATGTAGAGAGAATAAAGAATAATCAAGTGGAGTATTTTGTGAGTAAAACTACACCCAGATACTGATGTTTCCCATTTACTTTCTTGTAGCTGGTGTAATGAAGGAATACTTGCAGATCGATAATAATTATGTGGAGAAACACATGAACACAACACTGACGGTTGAGGAAATAACAACATAGAGCACTTAAGTGTTATACTAAGGATTGGGTTTTTGTGAGGCAAATCTCTTGCTCCAGCTGACTGTGAAAAATACTTCCCTCCTTTTGCTTTAACTACAAGGCAGATTGAGAAAGCAACACATACTGTTGAAAGCTTAGTAGTAAACTGCCAAGAGTAAAACTACTCATGCCAGAACTCATTTAGCTGGCTTCTCCTTGCTTTTCAGATTGAAAGTCCATATGTAATTTGGCCCTCTGCTTTTGGTTTTATAAAGTGGACATTTGTAAACATTCTTAGTCTCCCTTCAATCCACTGGAATAGCCCTTAGAAAGATGACTGGCATTGCTGGAGTCAATTCCTTGTGCCAGGCTTCAGCTATGGTCCCCAGCTGGATGTCCCACCTGGCACCTGCAATAAACCTAGGCACATGGTTTACATGGTGTTCTGTAGTGCAAGACCAGAATAATCTGGGTTTAAACAGTTGCTTATTGCTAAATACTTAAAGCTACATTTAAACGTACAGATTTAGCATAGACTGTTCTTGGCCTGTTGTGCGTTGTCTCGTTGTATGAATGTGGAGATGAGTACATAGCATCTGCCTGGACTGGACTTCTGGTTTCACCAGCATGCCCTTTTATTGAAAGCAGGGACTGGAAACTACTTACAGTTGGGACTTTGAGTATGCCTGTGGCTGAATGTGCCTATTAAAGTCAAGTGCTCAGATTTTCTCCTAATTCTCCACTAGTTTATGGTTAAGTATTCCAAAAGGTAGAGAACTACAGCGGAGTATTTAGCATGTGTTTGTACAGTGAGATAACAAACAGGTACTTCAGTGTAGTTAAGTTCTGTGCTGCTGAAGGGCCATGCACTTTCTGAAAGCTGCTGGATTTGTTAAATTTGTTGTATGTTCTTCTAACATAAACTAGCACATAAAAAGTTGCAGATGCTTGGTGTGGATTTTGAGTGTTTATGTGGCAACAGGAAAGTTTATATTTGCAAATACCAACACAAACACAGAAACCGCAGCTTACAAGGTTTGTTGATATCTTTCTCATATCCAGAGGAGGAATGAACAGTATTGCCCTTTGCATGACATTTTAAAAAAATCCTCTGAAAAATTCAGGCTACCCTTTCAAAAAGCAACAGTCAAATGACATGCTTGTTGTTGCTCCAGACCCCTCACCCTGAGTTTCCCATTGGAGCTTACCCGCTGTAGTAGCAACTCCCTTCCAAAAGAGTTGCTTTCCTTTTATTATATTCAGGTCTGGTGAAGAGTATGAGTAATGATGATGTTTCTCTAATTGTCTGTTGGAAACATTCACCTTTCCCCATATTATTTGTAACTTAGTTGACAGCCTTTCTAAGTTAAAACTAAAATCTCATTTTGACTGCGATCCTTAATTGTCATTCCTAAACTAGATGTTTCAGTCTCAGGAAAATACAGTTCCAAAAGAGCAAGGTACAATGTTTATCCTCTGAAAGTTGTTAGAAGAGGGGTTGCAGCTCAAAAGATGAACATGATTTCCATTCAGGGACAGCCTACAACATATTACAGCTACAGCAATAACTGATTACTTGGAAACCTAGATGAAAAATCTACTCTTCATACTTACATATCACCCACTTAGCATGAGGTATAATGATACACTTAACACAGGGGTTCTCAAGTATTTCCTTGCTTCTTAGTATGTCTCCCCAATGGCTTTGGAAGTATTAGGGCCTAGCAAAGAAAAAAAAAAAAATATCGGACTTCTTTAGATCTGTTTATGTAGAACTGACAACTTTCTGCCAAGGTGGAAGAAAAAACCAGGAGAAAGATTATTTTGAAAATAGTTTTTTTGATGTCTTTTTTTGGTTTGTTTATTTTGGTTTGGGTTATTTGGGTTTTTTTGTGTATTTTTTTTCCCCTGGAACTGTGTAGATGGCTTGATCCAGGTTACGAACATCTGGTAACTACTAACCCTGTTCTACACCTCTAAGAACTGCAGAAAATTTCTCGGTGATCAGTATTGGCGTGAAATTTAAAGTCTCTGGAATAGTCTTTAAGCTTCTGAACCTCAACTAGATTAAAGCTGCTGCTTTACTACAGTGCAGATGTTGTTCAGACTCAGTTAACAGTTATTTAAATGCATGAAGTATAGCCAGTGACTAGGACACTAAGCTGCTATGAAATTTAAAGTCACAGTGAACCAACACCAACAATCCACCACCATTCCTAAACTTCCTCAGTGCTGGTCATAGGATCACACCACTTTAGTCCAACTCCTGATGGGGCTTATCTAACCAATGAAGGAAGCTAGAGTCCCTGAACTAGGTTACTAAGATCAAGCAATTTAAGTTTATTTCTTACCTTCCATGAAAAGACCACAGATAAGGGCTCCTTCCCTTGGTGGGTGGCCATAATCTTCTTTGGTCACATTTGCAGTCAACCACACCTTATCCAAAGGCCAGTTGTTCTTGCGTGCCATGCTCTGCATTACAGCTTTAAAAAATAGTATTTTCAGTAATTCAATATCCAGACAGTAATTTTAATGTCAGAACTGTTAACGTGCCCCTCTTGGGGCAGTTGTGCTCAAGCCTGAGACTGACTAGGGTTTGTTTTGTTTTTTTAACTTTGACTATTATTTGAAGTAAGGCAAAAAAGCTGCATGAATGCAATTGTTTGGAAACAAAGCATTCTGCACAGTACAGAACCAACCAACGCCTCCAACCCCCCAGCCCCCAGCATTGCTGTCTGCACTCAGAGACACCACTTCCCTCCAGCCATGTCCCCACTCAGAACCAGCCCGGGCTAACAGCTATTCTAGCCTGCATGGTCCTTACGTTGGACCCTTGACAGGAACAAATGCCCAGAAGAGAAAGCTTGGAGAGAGGCAGTAAGAGGAGTGAAAAATACAGTGAGGTTTCTCTGTGCCTGTGGCACGAAGATGAGCACCATTTGGGGACCTCGACATGAGCAGCAGAGAGAAGAGGAGCTGCCTGCCAGCCCTTATGCTGCCATCCCCTCCTACTTCCACAGACAGGGAGAGGTGCTTCGCTGTCAGGGCTGCAAACATGCCCCGGGCTCCCCCTGCCCATCTTCTCCAGGGAACGATGGCAGCCCGGCCAAAGTGTTCTGTGAGGAGCTCCTGGGCACCTTTCTGCTAGGCTAGCCAAAGATTATGTCAGTGCCATTGGTGGCCGTGCAGAATTTGAGATACACTGTTACTGGGCTCTCATGTGGCTTCAGTGGGGTCTTCAGACTAATACATGCATATGTACCGTCATCATGACAAGAAGTGAGACATCAATATACTGCTGGAGACTTTTCATCCCCTACTGTGGCAACAAGTCCACAAAGGGGACCGGGAGACTGATTTATTTTTATTACTTAGCCTGGTAACTGCGTTAATGCTAAGGAATAAACCAGAATGGTACCATGCCATATGCACTGAATTGGTTAAATAATAACAGTAGGAAAACTTGCCCTCTTAACCTTTTTTAAGCTATGAAATTCAAGCTTTTATATTTCCTTAGCTGCTTTGTCTCCAGACTTCTGAAGAGACTCAGGATGAATTTGGACTGTTCTCCCTGCTTTCAGGAGATGGTTATTCTGATATTTGGCTGATTTTTGTCTTTTTATTTAAACTGTGCTTGACTCTCCAAACAGCATCACAAACATAGCTAACACCAAGGGTAAAAAATAAACGTCTGGCAGTGATACCATATGTCTGGTTCTTTACAACCATCACTGCTTACCTGTCAGAAAGGACTGAGGACTGAAGAAGCCAGAAAGCCACACCACTGTTGACAGCACAAGGTCCTGTGTCCAGATGTCAAGTTCTCCATACTGCATGAGAAGATCAGTAACTCTCAAACAGAAGCGGCAATAGCTTCTGCTTTCATCTGTATGTACTACTTTTTTAGACAAAAGAAATTGCAGACTTCAAGTGTAAGAGTCCTTTTGTCTACAGAGAAAGTACATGGATGAAGTAACCAGAAAGTATATGCTTACGTAAGTATAAGGTCATGGTTTTAGTGGAGTATGTTCTTTCCCTGATGTAGGTATGTCCCAAATCAACTGTAGACAGTGATAAGCATGAGACAGGTTGCTGGCAACAGAGAATGCGAGTATGCTCAATCCTGTAAAACTTGTCTTGGGGAGAAACCCCAACATCACCATTAGTCATGTTAACACACCTTCAGAAACTGCCCAAAATTGGTAACAATTGATGGCTTCTTAAATGCAGGTTGTCTGATACCATCTTCAGTGGTGCATTTAAACTTCCAATAAGCCAGAGCAAAGTACAAATCAGGAGCACGAGAGTCTGACAGA